ATACCTGGGAGGATTGACAGTGGAAATAGATGAAATGTTCACACTGAATATCAACAGAACAAGGGGACATGGGGTGGGAGCTTAAAACTCAGATGAGTCAGAGATGTTAGAAAGTTTTCATTTAGCATGAGAGTAATGGGAAAATGAAATGAACTAAAGGAACAGGTTGTGAATGCAAACTATATTCATAGTTGTAAAAATACAGTAGATATGATAGGGAATAGGACAGTTGTGAAAGCAAATGATATTTATTGTTTTAAAAGTAGATATAATAGGGAAATAGGACAGGAATCATTACATTAAACAACTGGCAGCTAGAAGGGCAGAGTCCAAGAGCTAATGCTCAATCCTGTAGGCACAAATAGGCAAGTACACACACACACACACACAAAATCAGTGTTTATATATTTTCATTGTTTATATATTTGTATCTTAATAAGCAAAAACATGTATTATACCATTTCCTACAAGAAAACTAAACAAAACAGGGCTGTTCCAAATCTGGATTGGGCTCAGAATGTTATGATCTGGATTTTGGAGGATCCACTGTGTGTATTAAAACTGTGTATGTGTGTGTTCATGCGTGTGTGTGTGTGTGTATTGCATATGTAGTCTATCAAAATACAAGTAAAACTATATAATGTAATGTGCATCTAATATATATACTGTATATATATGTGTTGGTGTGTGTGTGTTTCAACTGTATATAGATATTGTACATATATATAGTATTTATAGTGACTTCTCCAAAATTTGAATCGCCATATAACGAATCCATATTGACTAAAGAATTTCCAAAGGTTAAATTTGGGTTTTTGATCAGTCGCAGTGAAAAGCTCTGGATCACTACCATAATTTTCAGTAGACTGTACCAATTTTCAATTTTATTATTATTATTATTTTTTTTTTTTGCTGTTCTTTGGCTTTTAATTTCTATTTAAGAACTATTTCTTAATTCTGTTCTGTGGTGTCTGAAGGCCTACTTTGTGCGCATGTATACTGACCATGTTTTGTCCGTGTGTGCGTGCTCAGTCTCATGTCTCTATGTAACATGTTTCACAGATTATTGAATATACAGTACTTGTATCATTATTTGAAGACTGATGGCACATTGTTCATTATGGTTACATCAGGTAAGAGGTACATACTCCTTGTTCCTTATCATGGACAAGAAGGTTAAGTTAGTAGAGAAACATAATTATTGCTGAAGAGTTTAAGTGACCGGCAAAGGAATGTGGAAGTTATCTTAGTACCGTTTCAGACAAAAAAATGTAACGGATCATGAAGCGTGTTGGTTAACATAGTAGTGGCGACTTTAAAAGGCTATCAAAATACAAGTACAGTATACTGCATCATCAAAATATAGGATGATGCAGTTTACCACTGGTTCAGACTATACACAAATTCCTGTAAACTATAGTACTAGTATTGCTAATTTATTTACAGTCATTTTTAAATGTGCAGTTAAATTGTGACGTGAATATGATTTGCTTACTTTAGAATTTGCTACACTGCATTTTTCTGCTGGGTAACCAAGACCAGCCTGATACTAATAGCTAAGTAACAAAATAAATGTTTTACACTTTTAAGGCATAATTAATATTTGTAGCATACAAAAATCATTATTTATATATTATTTGTGGCTAAAAATGCAGAAACTTAATTATTTTTTATAGAAAATCATACAACGTATGCCGATAAAGAAAAGCCCAAAAAGTATTCAAAAATCTCGATAGTTTGCTAATCTGGATTGGGTCTCAAACTAAGTGATTCAAATCTTGGAGATGTTCACATTATATATATATGTATGTATGTCGTACCTAGTAGCCAGAACACACTTTTCGGCCTACTATGCAAGGCCCGATTTGCCTAATAGGCAGAGTGATTTTCTTTATTTTAAATAAATTGTTTCCAATTGGTTTATTTTAAATATAATTATTATATTATATTCAGAACATAAATTATTGATTTAGTTATGTTAGTTTAGCTTAGGTTAAGATAGGTTAGGTAGGGTTGGTTGGGTTCGGTCATATATCTACGTTGGTTGTAACTCAAATTTAACAAAATTAACTCATACATAATCAAATGGATAGCTTTATCATTTCATAAGAAAAAAAATTAGAAAAATATAGAAATTCAGGAAAACTTGGCTTATTAGGCAAATTGGGCCTTGCATAGTAGGCCAAGAACAGCATTCTGGCTACTAGGTACAACATATATGTGTGTGTGTGTGTGTATATATATATATATATATATATATATATATATATATATATATATATATATATATATATATATATATATATATATATATATATATATATATATATATATATATATATATATATATATATATATATATATATATATATATATATATATATATATATATATATATATATATAATATATATAATAAAATACATATATATAATATACATGCATACAATATACTGTATATAGAATGTAAAAAGAATATTTTCAAACAATTCTAGTGTTGTCAACATATTTTGAAAGAAGTGTTCCATGGATAACTATGGCAGTACTAATTAAGGTTATGATGTATACATACAGTACTGAGAATCAACATTAAAGGAAAAATGATGAATGATGTTGATCATTTTGAGTACTGTACATATTGTCCTTCATATTGTGAGGTGGTGATGCAAGCGACCAAGATAGTAATGTGATTATAAACAGTCTTGGTACAGAATAACTACACAGCTGGTAAATGCAATAACAGACAGGTGCATAACCAATAGCAGGTAAAAAATAACAATGTTTACAAACATCTTATCCTTCTCACAGTTCTTAATTTGCTATATACTCATTACTCATCAACTTGGTGACAAAAATCACACATTATTTTAAGTCTGCTCAAAGAAAAGCTGTATAATCACAAAACTAGAGCCTATTTATCAAATATATTGTATAATGCTCTATTGTAATATCAGCTATGATATACTGTATTTCAACACTGGCTATGAAACTAGACTCTGGAGTAATACAGACTGGGTTTGTACACACACAGTTATTGACATTATTGTCGGGGCACTAAGCCTCCAGTAACAACGCTACAGCAGTGTGCGGGGGCGGGGCTACACCACACTCAATACTTGTGCAGAGTTTCTTTAACTCGCACTGCCCCTGCACAATGCCAAGCCCAGTCTCTCTCATCAACTTGCACTCATTTTTTTACCTATGCAAAAATACATTTTTATTTGCTGAAAACCCACACCATGGGAGCAGCATTGTAATCTTATTGGCTGGATTATATGTCAAGCTACATTTAATCCATTACAATTGCTTGCAGTTTGCAATAAACAGTAATCCTGCCCAAGCAGGCGTTTCATCCAATATAAATGTAGCTTGGCATACGCAAATTAGGCTGGGTTGATTGAGTCGTCTTGGCCTTACTTATGCTAAGGCTTCACAAGCCACAACCCTAGTGTACACAGGTTCCCACGACAGTGGTGGGCAGGCCAGGTGCCCACTCGTGCTCACGCTGTACGCCCTCGGTATGGCCTTGACTAAGATTCGCAGAGTATTGATGTGTCCATCTATAGGATCTGAACCTTTTACCTCAATCATGGTAGCTTTGAATTAAATAATCAGTTTACAAACTCCAAAGCCTTGAAAGGTCATCCTCAACCAAAGGTTATTATTTTTACGGCTACATTGTTGCATTGTGGAGCTCAAAATGTTTAAATACAAACTTAAGCTGCCACGATCAAGACAAATGGCACAGATCTCGTAAATGGGCATGTAAGTGCTCTGTGCATCCTGGGTAGGACAAGATGGGTGATCAGAGGGAGCAAGTCATTGGGTCCGCCCACTAAGCCGAGAGACGGTAAGAATGACAGATGTAAGGAAGACCTGGCATGGTAGGGAGGAAGATCATGATTTACTGCAAACCAAGGTAAAAAAATATATAATTAAAAGAAAAGATCACCTGTAGGAAAGCATGTAATCCTGATAGAGCTGTAAGAATTTAAATTTATATGGCAATTTTATTTTTTCCAAGTTATGAAATAGAAAATTTATTAATATGGCTAAAACTTTTAACACAGGAAAATCATAGGTAAATTAAAACAGGTTAAAATAACATGATTTAACAGTTAAAAATATTTCTTATTGTGTACAAATTAAATTTAAAAATTAAAGAATTTAAACTAATTAGGCATTAAGATAACATAGGTGATGCATAAATAATAATAATAATAATAATACAAAAACTGCAAATAAGTTGCTTAAATGCTAAAAGGAAAAATAGGTAAAAACCCACTTCCAATTCAATATAGAGCAGAGATAAACTGGCATTTTAAACTACAATACTGCAGTGAACTACGGGTAAGTTTAACCCTTAAAGTGTGGTTGTCGTTATATATTGATTCGGGGGTAATCTCGCTTGTTTAATTAAGTCACTGTTTTACACAAATTATGTAAATATAGTTATAATACAAGTATATGGATGTAATGGAGTTAACCTAGGCACATGAAAAAAATCTGCTATCATTTCTCATTGCTTATTATAAATTACGTTATCTTGTACCACCAGCAGGGCAATTACCACCACATGACAATTTGGTCCCTCCTGATGGTGTTTGAATCCATTTCTGGACAATATTACCAAACTGCATCAAGAACATGCAATATAGGTATACACCTTTCATTGTAGAACCCATATACTGTATAGATACACAGTACTTAATCACTGTTTTTGTCAATTGTGTGTAAATAAAGAAAGTTATTCAACACATTGTATAAACTTTAGTGAAACAGCACACACACCAGTTGATTGACAGCTGAGAGGTGGGACAAGAGAGCCAGAGCTCGACCCCCGCAAGCACAAATAGGCGAGTACACACGTAACCCCTTATCGCGATCATCAAAGCTGCTTGGCGTGTCAGAAAATACACATCACCACTGCCTGCAGAGCAAGTGACCCCTTATCCGAACTTGGCAATCTCACGGTGTGCAAAAGTACAAAAAACATGGATATTTGTTTCGTGCATTTTCCTGACACTTTTTTTGGATGCAATTGTATCTTTCATTCATATTTTTATTTTTTGTGCATTGGTAGAAAGGTGCCCTTAATCATAGCCACACTTTAGGGGTTAAAAATAAATTCATAGATGTTAGATCAGATACAGTCGAAGAAAAAGTAAATTACAGTTTTCAACTATAAACATTTGAGAAACAATTACAAAAAACAATACTGTTGTTATTAACCCATTTTTAGATTTTATTAGGAAAATAATTTGAGCATTGGGAAAACATAATTAAAGCATTTAAGAAATTGATCACTTGCACAATTAAACGGCTAAGCTGACATGAATGCCAATTACGCCACGATGTACATTTTAAGATGACAGAAGACCTTGTATTAATTTTAAAGTACAGCTGCTTGGAAGGTCAATCTGGAGCATTAGTGAGGAATTTTCAACCTTTAAAAATGTAAAGTTGAGGCCAATTGGAGGTTCATCTAAATTATGAAATGCTAGAAAAATATAAATGAAGCAAATGTAAGAAAGGTATTAGAACAAATGTGTGGGAAGGTACATGAGTGGTTGAAGGAGGTGTACGATGGAAATATTGAGCAGACGGAAGAGGGTAGGGGTGCCCCCCCTCGAGCCACATCTACATCATAGTCGGGGGTTGACCAGGTTCACCAGGATCCATGGGATCTAAACTTTGCACGAGTGAACATTATGAGCCACCCGTGGTCATCTTAACAAGTTACTGTACAAAGTAAAAGCGGGAGGACAAAGGTAGGGAAGGGGGTTGCCCTGGAAATCTGAAGTCAAGGCTAATATATGGATCTGAAAATCAATGGTGCTGTGGAATGAAAAGATGTGGGTGGAGGGAAAATAGCATAAGGATGCATAGGTTGACTTTAGTAAGGAAATGGGGTGGGAGGAGGTCTTGCAACAGCTTCTCCTGCAGGCGCTGCCCATACAGCTACAGCCGACCCTCAATTGTGCTCGCCCAGTGTCTACCACACAATGTGTAGGGGATTGTCCATTACATTGGCGGCAGCAGCAGCCTGTAGGGAAGCTGTAGAATGGTTTTGTGCGCATCGCTAGTACACTTGCGTAAAACTTGGAGAATCATTATTATTTGCATTTAACAGTTCACCTCACAAGATTCGCCATGAGGCCGCCCACGATGCCCATGTGAGAAGAGAGGTTTGCATCCGGGCGTCTGAGTGGCGTGGGCCACCTCGTGTGCTTGTGGGTCCAGTATGGGTGAGTTTTGTCTATTATGTACATGTTGGGTGTGCATTTGTGTTTATAAATGTATGTGTATTTGTAATTATCTAATGTGTATATGTGGTGCATATGTTTGCTTAATTACCTAAATATTGTTGCAGGATAAGTGTTAAGCATATGATGTCCTGTCTTCCTTATAATTTTGAGAAAGTATTTTCATTTACTTTATTCCTTTAACACAAATTGCAAACGAACATTTTCATTTCTTGTTTTTGACACCTCGTTCTCTGATTTTATAAATGGTCTCTTGTTCTCAGTTGCATTTGCGAAAAATGACATTAAAATTTTGCAGATTCCTATCGCAATTTGTACATGTCGATCGTATCACCCCCTCCCCTCTTCCTTCTGCCTACTAGTTCAGGCATGTTTCAACTAGTAAGAACATATGAATAGTAGACAAACAAGAGCGCTGATGTGATCACCAGATTTAAAATCAAGATGAATTGACAAAACTGATAGGGCGGAATCTTTGAAACCCACAGCTTCCATAACAGGAGACCATAGATTGAAACTTGAGAAAACAAATGTTCCAGAAAAGCATGCAAATTGCCTTTCACAAATAGAGGTGTAGATCAATTTAATAAAAATTAAATTAGTAGTAGTGTAGGCCAAGATCAATAGGAACTTGAAAATATCATGTGACAAAGATCACCGTATATGGAAGACGGAACTCCACATGTATGTTTGTGTGCGTGTCTCTCCAAGGCTGAAGGCTAAACACTTTGGGCAGCTTCACCCAACTTTTTAAGAAGACACATATGGGGATTGTGACTGTCATAAGCTAGTTGGGGGTTTGCCACATTCCTTCCCCATCCCATCCCTTCTTAAGAAATGTTACTTCCTTTTCCTTGCAATTTTGATGAAGTCTGAAATTGGGTAATTGTTTTCCATGGAATTTTTAGCATTACTGTATTTAACATTTTTGTGAAATTTATTTTTCTCACACACATGTATCATTACATTATCATTACATTACATTACATGGCTTAGATCAACGTTCCCACAATACTTGGCTAACTCTCAGGTACCTATTTACTGTTAGATGAACAGGAGCATTAGGTGAAAAGAAACAAGCCCAACCATTTGTCCCACCTGGGATTTGAACCCCGGGATTCCTTACAGTGAGTCGAGAACAACCGAGCTGTACTCGTCCACGTTACCATTTTCGTTTAACGCTTCCTTGTTCACTTCCTCTTCCTTGTCATCCTCACCATGATTTTGCTCCTGTTTTTTTGTTTTTTTGTAATTATTTATTTTGTCATTAGTCATGTTTTGAAAATTTGGGGCATCATTATAATCTATCTACTCATCTTTCAGCTTCTAATGTTTCTGTCACTAGGAAAAAGACTTGCTGCAGCCAAAGTTTTTCAAACTATTTCTCAGTGTTGTTAGCTTTACCTGGTCCAGGATAAAGGTAAAGTTAAAGCAGTTACTGTGAGGGGCAAGACCTCAGAATGGCAAGATGTCACCAGTGGAGTCCCACAGGGTTCTGTAGTCAGTTTGTTTGATATACATAAATAATTTTCCAGAGTATAGACTCATTCTGCTCAATGTTTGCTGACGAGGTTAAAATTATGAGAATGATTAAGACAGCGGACAGCAAGGGACTACAAGATGACCTGGACATGCTGAAGGAATGGTCCAACAAATGGATTGAATTAAATTCAAGCAAGTAGAAAGTAATGAAAATAGGCATAGGGAGCAGGAGGCCTGATAAAAGGTACCATTTGGGAGATGATAGCCTTCAAGAATCGGGAAGAGAGAAAGATTTGGGAGTTCATATCACACCAGACCTGTCCCCTGAAGTCCACTTCAAGAGGATATCATCAGTGGCATTTGCTAGATCGGCCAACATAATAACTGCTTTTAGAAACCTGTGTAAGATATAATTTAGAACCCTGTACAACACGTATGTCAGACCAGTCCTGGAGTATGCAGCTCCAGCACGGAGTCCATATCTAGTCAAGCAGAGGATTAATTTGGAGAACATTCAAGGTATGCCACCAGATTAGTACCCAAGCTGAAGGGTATGAGTTATGACTATTGGAATTAAACCTCATGTCACTGGAAGACGAGCATTAAGGGAGACATGATCACCACATACAAAGTTCTCATGGGAATTGATAGGGTGGACAAAGATATAATTTAACACAGGTGGTACTTGCTCAAGGGGGAACAGCTGAAAACTGATATATAAGTTTCATATAAGCCACAGAGACATTAGAATTTTTTTTCCAGTGTCAGAGTAGTTAACAAATGGAATGCATTAGGCAGCGATATGGAGGAGGCTGACTCCATACACAGTTTCAAATGTCGATATGATAGCCCAATAGGCTCGGAATCTGTACACCAGTTGAGAGGCAGGAGCAAAGAGCTGAAGCTCGACCCCCACAAGCACAAGTAGGCGAATACACCCCTGGCTGTGCACAGTTCTCTCTCTCCCACCTTCCCCTCCCTCTCCCCCACTCTCGTGTCCCTTCCCCTACCCCCTCCTCTCTTCCCCATCTCCCCACCATCTCTCCTCTCACCCATTCTCCCCAATGACATCATCTCTCTGCACCCGTATGTCACCTCTCTCAACTCTGTTTCGCTCTCCCACTCTCTTGACCTTTCTTCAACTCTCTCCTTCTCCCCCCTTCATCCTCCCTTTTCAAATCTCCAGGTACCTCATACCAGCAGATTTGAAGGTGTAATGAATGGACATTCAGTAATGTGGTGTGAGAGATACCTGTCTCTAATAAGCATAAAATATCAAAATTCTATGGAAAACACAACCCTCGATTTAATTTCAGATGATAAACACTTCAGGGAAGTGGTTCTCGATAGATGTTGATGTGTCTTAAAGTACGACACGGATTGACCCCAGCTGACCTATGACACTCCCACACCCTCACTTCTTCATCTTGGTACCATTGGGAGAAGTTAGCCCGAAGCATCAGATTTCCATCCTTGGATAGGCAGGCGCACACATTCTCATGTATTATATATAATACTGTACATGTATGTGTGCATGTATGTGTGTGTGTGCGCATTTATCATCCCACATGAACGTTTCATAAAATTTACTAAAACAGGCTATGCATTGTTTACAAACTGATTATGCAGTAGTGAGCTACACCCACTGACTATGAGGTTTGCTAACCACTTAATGATTGTATCTGTAGAACACATGATATCATCCAAGTCACAAGTCTTTACACTTTAATCATAATTTCTGCTGGTGAGGTCATTTACAGATGAAGGTCACACGAGGTCACCGAGATCATGCGAAGTTGATGGTAGTTGCCCAAACATTGTGAACGAGTGAAGCTCTTGCAATCAATGCGGCTTCACACCGATCACAAGAATTTGTGAAGGCTCACATGAAGGAGATGAGGATGCTGGCATCTTTACTGATGCTCACCATCAAGTGCTGCCAGGTATTTATCTTCAATTACCATTGGAACTAACTTGTGCCTGAAAACAAAATAAGACATGTATGTTTTTTAAGAAATGACTTTACATCAGCATAACATCAATTATTCAATGTAGAGTGCAAGTTAAGAAATGTTAGCTAATCTGAATGTGGAAAGAATTCAACTTATGAATAATTTATGAATAATCTAGAAATCCTCATAAATTGAAAAAATTAATGGTTCAAATAATACTACATCTAATACATTGTGGGTATGATATCTAAGGATTATATTGATGTGAAGGATCTTTCCTCTTGAGCTTAAAAGGATAGAGTACTTCCTGTATGCTAAATAGGATACAAAAAAGATTTAATGGAACAAAAGAACTATTTTGTTGGATAAATTTTACTGGATATGTGTAAGCCAGGCATGTGTTCATAAGCAGATGGATGTATAAATTACCTGAATTTACCTGAGGGTCACCATCTCTAGTGGCCCTCGATGGAAACAGGAAGCAGAAGGCTTGTCAAAGTTTTCCCTATTATTCATCGACATGTTTTCTGCTTGGATTTTAAACTGAAGTACCATCTTATTGTTACGAAGACGCTGGTAGTACAATCGGGTTCATTCCCAACTCACAATTGGGAGTTCGGGGTTTTAGTACCGGGCAGGACATAAATGGACGGAGACATTTCCTATCACTTAATGGCATAGGTTGGCAACACCTAGGAGCAAATAGATGCCCCAGGAGTTAGTCAGCTTGCTGTGGGGTTGCATCCTGGGCGGGGTCAGTAGTTCAACCTTGAGGTTATCTCAATATATCAATACCAGCCTCAATACCTGGCTGTCTGTCCCCTGACATACTGTAATAAATTACTATTATTTATGGCTTTGGTGAGTATGCGATGGGTTTATAATCCTATGGTTGAAAGAGCATCTCCTAGTGTGTGTACTACATTGTGGTTTATTGAGCTTGAAGCCATTGCTGTTTTTGAGAGTCAAATTGCAGCTTTTAAAGTAGTGGTCTGGATTAATATCTTGCAATTTGTTTAATATTTTAATGGCCTTGGTGAGATCAGTCCTCTCATGTTTGGTTTGTTGGGCTGTTTGTCTAGAGCCCCTCAAGCTCTAGACTAAGAGCAACAATTCATGATGCTCTGCCCTTAACTATTTTTTGTTTCAAACCAAGTTATGTTATAGTGAAGGTGAGGTCTCCATGCTTCGATTAAGTGAATCATACCTCCTTGGGTTCTTTTTTTTTTCAGTCTAGTGTAGTCACAAATATACAGTACTGTAAATATTCCATCTGTAGTTTAAAAAAACACTGATTAACAATTAGAGAATTTTCAGTAAGCATCAAGGTAGTTCCTAAAACAATGTAACTATGAATGATAAAAATAAAGGAGCACGGATGTCGTGGGGGAAAATATCAGGTAAGGGAGAGAATCTTATATGAGAGGAAGGAGATTGGGGGGATTGAGGTCTTGGTGAATGGGATTTTGATTTGAAGAGTTATGAGGATGATGGTACCAAAACAAGGACGTGGAGGATAGGGCTCAGGAGGATAGGAATAATGTTGTGGAGAGCAGATAATGTTCAGTGCCGGGGGGGGGTGGGGGGGGGTCTGGGGTCTGGAGGGGACTGGCTTTGAGATTGAGAAAGTGTGCATTTGTGTGTGTGTGTGTGTGTGTGTGTGTGTGTGTGTGTGTGTGTGTGTGTGTGTGTGTGTGTGTGTGTGTGTACTCACCTATTTGTGCTTGCGGGGGTTGAGCTTTGGCTCTTTGGTCCCGCCTCTCAACTGTCAATCAACTGGTGTATAGATTCCTGAGCCTACTGGGCTCTAATCATATCTACATTTGAAACTGTGTATGGAGTCTGCCTCCACCACATCACTGCCTAATGCATTCCATCCATTAACTACTCTGACACTGAAAAAGTTCCTTCTAACGTCTCTGTGGCTTATGTGGGTACTCAGTTTCCACCTGTGTCCCCTTGTTCGCATCCCACCAGTGTTGAATAGTTTATCCTTGTTTACCCGGTCGATTCCTCTGAGGATTTTGTAGGTTGTGATCATGTCTCCCCTTACTCTTCTGTCTTCCAGTGTCGTAAGATGCATTTCCCGCAGCCTTTCCTCGTAACTCGTGCCTCTTAGTTCTGGGACTAGTCTAGTGGCATGCCTTTGGACTTTTTCCAGCTTCATCTTGTGCTTGACAAGGTACGGGCTCCACGTACTAGGTACTGTGTGTGTGTGTGTGTGTGTGTGTGTGTGTGTGTGTGTGTGTGTGTGTGTGTGTGTGTGTGTGTGTGTGTGTGTGTGTGTGTGTGTGTGTGTATCTTGTGTCTCTGGAAGCGAAGAGGAGGAAGATAGCTATGTGCATGTTCTGTACATATTCATACATAGTGTGTTGTGGTGCCGCTTCCTAATAATGATGCAGCGTATACAAGATATAGTGAATGAACATGATTCATTTTGAATATCCTTAACCTCTTCCAATATTGTTCTAATAATGGAGGTGGAAAATAAGGTATGGTAATCATGATGTGCACCATTATCATTTATTTTTCTCATAGGAGAAATCACATGTTATAAAGGAAATAGCTCATTTACCTAATAGGTAGTAAGAGAAGAAGAGCGACTGGGAACATCATCTTGAGATAGGGCCAGGGAGCAAACCCTAAGGAGCACATTACTAGCAACTGGACAACTTGGAGTCCTGTGAACTTGTGAATTTTGCGCTGAGGGACACGCCGGATGTAGTGATTAGGTGGATATGCTGCCTGAAACATACAAAACATTGGTGGTAATAGGACACACTTTTATATTTTTCTACAACCTACTTTATTTTATCTCAATCATGGGAGTGCCTTATATGAACAATGTACTCAAGTTTTTTGTAAACTACTGTAAATCAATAATAATTAAATAATTATTTATTTTAAAAGTTTTTTAATTCGAATAGAGTACTCAATATTGTCTAGCAAAAGTATATAGAATTATAGGATTTTGTATAAATATTGAACAATACTGGAATGGAATTGGCAGCTTCCTTTCTCCCAGAAGAGTCAAAATACCTCCATCATTTACAGCATTTGCCTAATAGCAAATATTATTTGATAGCTATGAATTTGCCTGATAGCTCTCAGGCAACCTTTCTTGGCATGATAGTTGCAGTTCTATCTTTGCAGAGACCCTGCTAAAGATAGAACATCAAGGAAACTGCAGATGGCCTATTGTTGTGCTCGACACCATAAGGTATGAGCCCAGATGACTTAGGGTACGCGCCAGCTTGCTCCCTCACTAACCTGGTCGCAGCTCTGGGGCCACAGTACCTCTGATGGGCCCCGTCCTCGGCTTCATGCTTAAGCTAAGTAGTATTGGCTATTCCTGAAACATTAGTTCTGACTTCAGCTAATACTCTGTTATTGTTATTTTTAATCTCTTTTATAAGGGAGGTTGGTAATTCCTGGGATTAACTTTATCATTTGAACACGTACAGAGAATGATGACAATGTCCATTCTGTAGTGTGCACACACAAATCGAACTGCATAATCTAAATGAGACCTAACAAGGGCACAATCAAGCTGAAGATTGACACTAGAGGTCTTTATGCATTGATGACTCCACATTTTTTTTCACATTCAGATTTTGCAATTTCAACATTCTCCAGCTGATATTGGCAAGTATTATTAATACCTAAGGTCAGATTCCAATATTTTTCAGCATTACTAATAATAATAATAATAATAGAGCAATCACACTAACGTGACTGCACTAATGAGAAAATCCATAGAAGATGTGATAAGGATTTGAACCTATGTGGTGGGTGTTCACACGCGCACACCCAGACAATCAAGTCACAACATGGTCAAAAGGATTGCAACCTGGAGTTCTACTCAACACACAAGGATTTCCTGAGGCTTCCACTGAAGCCAGACCAGGATTTTCACACAATCCCTCCTCCCCCCCCCCTCATGCACTCTGACTCTGTCATCCATGAATAGTCCACCTCTGTGAACATGGTGGTGTACATGGTACTACCCACCACATGGGTTTGAATCCTCATTACGGCTTCTATGGATTTTTGTTAAGACTAATATTAATAATACTAATACTGTAATAATAACTAAATTGTGTTGGAGACAGTCAGCCTGTGTATATATACATGTTCAGCTTATACTGTATATAGGTCCCCTATCACTCCAAGATCAAACTATTAACCATCAGTTTGACCCCACAACAAGCTGACTAACTCCTGGGTACCTTCAGGAGGTGTAGGTAGGTACCCAGGAGTACCTACCTACATCGCCTACTTCTATTGCTAGGTGAACAGATGTATTAGGTGATAGGAAACACACCCAACCATTTCTGTCTCGCCCGGGATTCGAACCCAGAATTCTTGATTGTGGGTCGAGAACAAACCCAACTGTACTACTGAGCCCCTGCTGTACAGTACTATTGAGACTGCATCTGTGCCTGAATGCCGAAACGAGTTAGTTACATTTTAACTGAGGTTGTTGAGAGCAATGAGATTATAGTGTCAGATGAAATTAATTGTCTATGGTTGTATATTTTGCAAGTTTTAGCACCATGAGTATGAAGAACACTTCAGTTTGTATAGTTGCTGCCCAGTTACTAATTCTGACATTAGTCTCCATTATAATGCCATTGGGTTAAAATTCAACAATTGCACTTTCCACCCTCCCACCAGCAGAGCTGAGAAAGCTGCCAGAATAGATATTGTGTGATTTGTTGAAAGTTTGTAGATGACGAGTGTTTGAGAGCACCTTAATTTGACAGTGAATATAAGGTAAGGAGAACTGTATAATTACTTTAGTTTAGAAGTATTCTGATGTCAAACTGTGTTATTCACCAAATTATGTACAGTATTCTGCCTCTAGGTTACATACACTTGAGAATTTATTTTGTTATTGAAGGTTGATAGGCCTAAAGTCCACAACTAAGAGAAGGGCGTCACCTGCTGGGGTTTCCTAACTATATAGTTGATGTGTTTGAGACACTTACATAAGTGACTCGTCTGAATCTATTCAGATCTACCCATTTTATGACACATGAGTTCTAACAATTCTGTAGAGGCAACATTATTTTCCCTCCCATGCAGAAACATCAACTTTTCATATGACTGACTTCAGAGACTCTTCATTGATCTGAGAAAGGCCTCAAACTCACACACTCAACCACCAATGTTTGTACTTTCACAACCCTATGTACCTTCTTGTATAAATAAATATACCAAGTACCAGTACATTTATTATAGTTTTGCAAATGAATCACTTTAACAAGACATCCAGGTACAGTATAACATGTTCATTTTTCAACTCATGATAATGTATAATACTATATTAAAAAACTATCTTTCACGTATAACCTGTTATAAAATAATAATACCTGTAATAATTAATAATAATAATAATCTTGTCTACCTTCTGTCTATAGCATATTATTGTCTATCTTCTTAAATTGTCTTTTTTCGTGCTATTTCTTGTTCATAATACTGTAGTTAAAGAATAAAAATGCAGCCAAACATATATGATGTCCATACCTGTTCCATAAAAAGGAGTGAAATGCGCTCAAACATTTGATTGCCATTAAGTGCCGTAACAGCCATATAAAGGAAGAGGCCGTCCAGTACCGCCGTCGGAATATAGGCCAGTGGGTATGGTAACAAGAAGATGGATAACCCAATGAGGATATTGGAGAAGAGTCCAGTCAACCGGGTCTCTCGCACCTTTACAATTCTGTTGAACAATCATGGTAAATGTTTCTTACAGGTGATTATTACAAAAAATATATATCTAAGCCAATTGGCAAAACTGCATACAAAAATACATTATAATTCTGTTTGAAGGAAACAAAGTACAGTACTTTGTTTCCTTCTTTGATGGAGTGCGGGAGGCATCAGCCCAGTGAAAAAAAATGTGAATAATACTGGATAGAGAAAGAAGGCTATAGGTATTAAGAAAATTAAATTATAAATATCATGCATCCATTTATTATATCATTCACACTACAAGTATAACTACAGTGATAAACAAGCACTTACCACAGTTCACTGCTTCATAAGACCAGCTATGCAGTGCTCTTCATGAGTTGTTTTATACAGTACTGTATAAAGCAATGTCAACATTAATAACATACAGTACTGTATAATAACAATGTCAACATCTGCATACAGTACTGTAATTACAAATGTAGCACAGTGATTAGTGCAGTTGGTTCACAACTTCTTGGTCCTGGGTTTGATTCCCAGGCAGGGCGAAACATTTATAAATGTCTCCTTACACCCAATGTTATTTGTTCACGCACTTTCCCCCACTTCCTTGCAAACTAACTCACCATGACCGCCCACTTCCTCGTAAACTAACCATGGCCGCCCACTTCCTCGTAAACTAACCATGGCCGCCCACTTCCTCGCAAACTAACTCGCCATGACTTACCACTTATTCCCAGGAATAATTCCTCTTTTCCTACCCTCAAATTCGCTTGAATACACTTTACCCCATTCATCATTATCCATTCACTCAACACACCCAAACCATTATTTTATGCTCTTTGCATTCTTACAGTTTACTGACTTTTGCATTCCACATCTCTCCATGACATTCAAATTTCTGACTATAAATGGTTTTAAAATCATATATTTTGGAAAATTTATTCCTAATGGTCTAGCTTTTAATGTAATATTCATACCACACCTTCATCTTAACTGTACATAAGGGTTGGCAATACTGTAACACTGTAAAAGTGTTTGGTTTAGTTTAATACATACATAGAGTACATGAGTCACAGACAAGGATCTGAGAGGCGCCAGTTTGTCGGCCTGAGATCTCACACCTCAAAGCGTTAATGACCTCAAGTGACCTGAGGTCAGATCATGCGAATTTCACCTTGCTTCTACTAATCTCTTAATTGTAGTCTGGTAGCCTTCAAACATGCCGACGTTTAAGGAGTGGCTTGGTAGTGCCGGAGGCTATCTACTTGTGGGCGGAGTTAGCTACTAGGTTCCCCAATATAAACTCGGAGAGCTATCGAGCATGAGAGAATTAACAGATAGAACAGCAGACGAGCCAGGAGAGCAGAGAAGACAGCCCTACCAGGGAGGCTGTTGGCCGGCAGGGCGGGAGTCTCTGTCAACTACAGACCCCCCCCTCTCTATTCAACTTAGACTCAGTCCTCGGTGAGTGAACATTTAGGTGACTTGGTCGTGTTTTACAAGTGTTGTGTGATGATCAGGGGCAGTCAAGTGTAGTGCTCTCAGATTCTTGGAGGATGACTCACTTTGAATATTAATCGTTGACATTTTAATTGGATTGCTTAAGTTATGATACTTATCATGAAATATAATTATGAATTTATTATTTAAATTGTGTTTAACTTTGTTCCCTAGAGCTTTGAGTTGAGGTGAGAAAGCCTCTGTGGTTACTGGTTTCATGGTGTAGAATGAGTACATGATAAAGATGGGAACTACTAATAATGATCTCTTGATAACATCATTTGAGAATTTTGTGATACAGACAAGTTCCATTCCTTGTCTTGTATGTGATGATCTAGAATGGATGGTGGCAGCATTTCGTCTTCTACTATCTACTTTCTACTTCTACTAGCTACTCTTCTACTTCTACCTATCTACACCTCTCCCTCCACCCCTCTCTGAACTCTCACTTTCAACTAATGACCCTCCTCGCTCCTCCCACCTCCATACCTCTCACCCCAAACCCTCACTAATTACTTCACTATTCATTTCTTTCCTTTCGTTTTCTCGTATACATTTGTGGCAATGATTCTGTATTCTAGAGTTCTCTCTAGAGTTTCGGGTAACTGATCAAGTGACGGCGCCTTGTAGTCTTAGCACCTAGGTAGTCGAATACCTAGATTACAAGGTGTTGAACGAGAGAGGTTGCCTTAGGAACTCTGGAGGTGCTTTAGAATAGTTAGCTAACTGGGGACGGGATAACGGACTAGAGAGAGCTGTTTCCCCCGGCCTCGTTAGTTAACTGGGGGGTGGAATAATGGACAAGATAGAGCTATTTCCCCCCACCCCCCGTTACAATACCATTCCTTCATACATATCCTCTGGATGCCTCTATCAATGCATCCAGAGGGGTCCGTTGATTGTGGAGGCTTGGTTAGTTAGGCCAGGGATGCATCATGTGTTGTGTCCGGTGGCGACTTTGTCACTACCTGCGGGCCACTGGTTCGGTGATGGTAGATGCACTTTGGGTGGATTAGCTTTCCCCTGTTCCAGGGCTCGTGCATCTCATGGTGTCCACGGTGTATTCAAATCTAGCTAACCTGCGGTCTGCCCTTGTGCCCGTGATGTGAGGTAGTATCATGCTCTTGCTACTGTCTTTGGTAGTATGTCTTAGGTCGACATTCCGGCATGATGGTTTTTGAGGTTGAACTGGGTCCTGGCCGCGAGCTATCTCATGAACGTCTCGAGCTCTCTCCGTTCTTGTGTTGCATTGGGGAGACTGTCACGGCTGTCAGTCTCTTCTTCATCTTGAGACTTGTGGTGCTGTCGCCTCCTGGGTAAGTCCCTGTGTTTTACTTACCTGTGGGTAGTTAGCTTCAGGGAGCTGACAGGGTTTCACACAGAAAACCAGCGTTGAATGTAATGAAACGCCATTTTCTGGATGAGCCCCGGAGGCTCTTTGACGCCCTTCCTCCCTCCAGTTGGCGATCTTCATCATTCAAGAACTGGAGTGGTGGGCTGCCGGCTCACCTTAACCAGCTCCCCCGCCTCGGGGGCGGGGACACTAACAAGCGGGAGTGCTAGTTGGATGAAGTGTTGCTTGTTTGTTTTCTTTTTTTCTAGGGGAGTTCTTCTGCTATGTTCAGACGTAGGTCGCAATTTTCACCAGATTGTGGTCTGTTTTGTTTTGCTTATCTTTCTGGGTGATTTCCCGGTCGATGGCAATTACTACATATTTTATATGTAAAGTGCTCGTAGGCCATTGCTCCCTGCGCCTCTCTGAGGGAGCCAGCGTCTGGCTCGTGGTTCCCGGTAGGCATAAGGACTCCTGTGACTGATGACCCCAAACTAATATAGCACATATCAGTTCGGATAGCTTCAGGAAGCCTTCGGGGCTCACCCAGAAAATGGTGTTTCATTACATTCAACACTGGTTTTTGAGATCCAGATGGACACAGTCAACTCGACCATCTCTTTTCTGTAGAATCTCCGTGGCTCTACCATAAAAACGAAGTAGTGCTCTAATGCTAGATATTATAGTGCTCACCTATATTAAAACTAATCTAAAAAAGCCCCCTCCCCAAAATATAAAAATGCATTAGAAAAAGTGCACAAAAAATGAACATATAAAAATTTGTGGCAAGCCACGCTTGTTGAATCGCGAGGGGTTCACAAACTCCTCGGGAAGTCTCCGGCATGGGAGACCACCCGGCTGTGACATCACAGTTCATCTTCTGCACACCACTGTGGCCAAAGTAAGTGTTTGTTTGTATTTATTTCTACATATGTGTTGTCAAGGAAGGGTAATTTAACAATTTTGGAATGAAAAAAAAAATTTGAGGAAGTTTTTTTTGGCACACTGACATGCATATTAATTATACGGAGTAGTGCAGTGGTTAAGCACTGACCCCTACTGGTCAGACTAGTAAATATCAGGTACCTACATGAGACTGAAATCTAAAGCATCCCCTTAACTAAATTCATATAACAAAATCCATATTTTTGGCACGTCAATATTTACAGAAAATGTCATACATTTCATATACATGTCCCTGCTCAACACGCTCTTCAACATCAGCAAGGGAGCGGACATGTAGAGGCGAGTGTGGTAGGCACGCATGCATCCAAGGCAATCCATAGAGGGAGAGGAACCCATTCATTACTGCCACCACTAGGAGGTCTAAGTGGTAGGCTGGACCCTTTTTCAGTCTGGAAAGAAACAGGTACTGTTCTATAAATCATACAACTACATGCATATATGAGAGCGCCTCTGGCTCAAGGTGTGTCTGGTCAATAGGAAGGCTGTGTTAACAATCTACTTAACAGAATGTGCACATATTATGTAGTCTCTACTTATTGACGTGCTATTAAGTGGAATAAAAATGTGTATATATATATAAAAAGATGATGATTTGCTAGTTTGTCCTAGCAAATCATATTTATATCATTGGTGTTAAATGTATTATATTTTACTAAGTTAGAGGAAAAGCTGCTTGTACATCAGGGTTTTAAAATATGAGATAATATGGCCAGGCTTGATATTAGTCTATATTTCTTAATGTCAGTGTGATCTCTCCTCAGTCCTCTAGTGATTCATTGTTCCACTTGGTGAGAGGTGGCAAGAGCAGTTGATGATCTCAATCTAACTGTATATCTTCCATTTCACATTGCATAATTTTCCCATGAAGCTGTCATCCTCAATATGTTAATCATATTTGCTTTTCACTTTTGTTTTTAAATTCTGTAAGTTTAGTAAAGTACTAATTCACACTTAATTAAACTATATTTACTACCAAAGATATAATGAAAATAAGTACACTCTTTCATTTAAGAATCAACCTATAATACTGTAAAGTATTAGCAAAGCTTTCTACTGTGCATGTTAATTTACATTTCTTACTATTAATATTAGCTAAAATATATTATTAAAACCCAAACATAATTTCTAGGTTTGATTGCAATGCTGTGAATTATTATTGGCCTTGTAATATTACTTTAAATATTGTATTGCTGCTGTAACCATTGTAGTATAGTGTAAATATTATTAACAATTATTATTTATCAAAAATGTGATTACAGCATATGTAGTCTTTTCAAAATTAATTATAATACTGAAATTAAATATCAGAAATTACTCACTTATTGCATGGATTGTTGACCATCGCCGAGCCGATGTTTTGGTCCATAAAGAAGAGCATGGATAGTGAGAAGCCCATGCCCATGGTGGCGAAGACGGCTGGGTATGGCAACGTCTCCAGTGGCGGCAATTTGAACATATCATAACTGTTGTCATACCGAAAGTGTTCCACTGGAAGCCAAAGGGAATAAGGTATGTATTATATTTTAAGTGCATGTCATCATACTGTAAAAAAAACATATACATTAGGAGAAAACTTGCTTGTATATTGTACAATACTAGAAAATATGGTGTTGAATGACCTTTTCTGGAAGGGCCCTCAGTGGCTCCCCAAGCAAATCCCTGGTACCATCAAGTCTTAGCCCATCATATCAGGCCTGCCTGTAAGACCCACCTGATGCCTACCAACAGCCAGGACCAGAATATGGCTCACTCTACAAAGCAAGGGAAGCAAGAAATCAGAGTTCATCTATAAAACTAGGGGAAAACCCATTATAAAGCATAGGCAGAACAAAATAAACGACTGCTTGAAGGATGTTTGGCACCCCTAGGTAAACACTCTAATTGTGATAGGCCCGAGTGCCACTAGGTAGTGGTACATGGGGGAAAGAAGGGAATAGGGTGGAGGATGGGGAAGCTACAAGGAGTCCCAGCAGAAAAGGGAGTTTTATTACATTTGATGCTTGACTTCCGAGAAGGACCACTCAGTGACTCGCCAAGCTTACTCATAATGCCTTGATAGAGGAAACTGACTTTCCCGATAAACAGAAACAGCAGACTGGACTGTACCGTGGGAGAAGAATGGCTGAAGGGTGCAAATAATGGTAGACACCAACAAAATGCTCATGAGCACAGAACAACTGAAACACAAACAACTTAGAATTAGAGGCCAACAGTAAAAGGGCCACCTGAAGCCTCAGGCTCAAACATCAGATGTGGACAAAATGACAAAGAATCCCATCCCCCAGACTGGAGACAAACAAAAGGCTGGAGGCTGGCTGGACTGAACTACCATATGGAGGTGTGCGTTGGACTAAGACTTGTTAATACCACACATTAGCTCAGAATGCAAATGAGGACAGCCTCCCAGAAAAAGTTCTAAATTAAGCTTTTACAACACTAAGCCATTGAGTAGCAAAATAAAATAAAATAAATTGTGAGAGCAAACTAATGTTAAATTAAAATACAAAATATAAATCACTCAAACCCATGCTGCAGGATGGAAGAGAATCACAAGCATGGAAGCAAGACTCCCATGATTACTATTCCACACAAAGTTGGCTCCTTGCTACAAGCTGCAGTATTGCTTTTGTTGGGCTGCACTATAAAATACAGAATACTAATTATTTTATTTTTATTATCAGTACTCTTATTATTACTGTACTATTATTTTAATGATGACATTTTAATGATGACCAAACCACAAGTGAGAAGATGGGGAAGCAATGACGTTTCGGTCCATCCTGGACCATTATCATGTGGTGTGTCGCTTCTCAACTTTCCGAGTTGTGGTTCGGTCGTCATTTCTTCAGCCACGTTATTGTGACTTATCGTCCACTATTATTGTAGCTATCTTGAGCCTTTTCAATCCAAAGATGTTCCCGGGATTGAAATTTCTCAAGAAGGCTATTTCACCACACAGCTTTTATTTTGATAAGCTTTTATTCTACAGGAAACATCTGGTGAGAAATTTAATCAATAAATTTGATTGTAGTTTATATATATATTTAAATTGGATACAGGTATATCTCAATCCATTTTTGTCAAGCCACAGTGCAGAAAAAAGCAAAAGGAAGTTATTCTTATCTTAGAGTGTAATAAACTTAGTATTTTGTCATCTATGTATTTAAAAGCAATTCTGAAGTCAGAAAGTGTAGCATAGGCTTCTCGCACAATGTTCTTTATGTGGTCCTTAGGTGACAATTTTCTATCTAGAACCACCCCTAGATCTCTTTCTTTATCAGAATTCTTTAAAGATTTCTCACATAATTTATAGGTTGTGTGGGGTCAATGTTCTCCTATTCCACATTCCATAACATGGCATTTATTCACATTAAATTCCATTTGACAAGTGGTGCTCCATATACTTATTTTGTCCAGGTCTTCTTGAAGGGCATGACAATCATCTATATTTCTTATCTTCCCTATTATCTTAGCATCATCAGCAAACATGTTCATATAACACACACAAATCACAATAGCACGATACATCAAAGCCCTTGCATTCACCTAATTGTGCTTGCGGGGGTTGAGCTCTGCTCTTTCGGCCTGCCTCTCAACTGTCAATCGATCAACTGTTACTAACTGCTATATTTTTTTCTCCACACACACCCACACACACATACCCCACCCCCAGGAAGCTGCCCATAACAGCTGTCTAACTTCCAGGTACCTATTTACTGTTAGGTAACAGGGGGCATCAGGGTGAAAGAAACTCTGCCCATTTGTTTCTGCCGGCCTCGGGAATCGAACCCCGGACCACATGACTACGTATCAAGCATGCTGTCCACTCGGCTACCGGCCCCTTGTGGATTTGTTCATGTTCACATAAATCTGTATTCCATCTGGTAGATCGTTTATGTAGACAATGAACATTACCGATTCAAGAACTGAACCCTGTGGTACTCCACTCGTGGTATTTCTCCAGTCTGATACATTGCCTCTGATCACTAGTGTACAAAGGTGTTTGTGTGTGACAGTTCTAGGTTTGACGGCAACATTGTCCGTAGCAGCAGGATTAACAGGCGGCTGTAGACGCTGATGCTCCTGTCTACCACACAACTAGAGGAATGCAGCCAAGATACGTACTTTTAGACTCAACTGAAACGAAAAAAATCAGAAACAAAATAAAAATAACACAAGTAAAATGCTTTTTATGTGGGGACAAAAGACAAAAACTAAATATACATGTAGATAAACACACAGTGTGGTTATGGGCGGGCAGACAAAATATGAAAATAATAAAATTAATTTAAAAATAACAATCTAGGTGTAAAAACAAACACAAGGTTTTATAAATGCACACAAGGTCATGCTAATGCCTCCATCGTGGCACATTGTACACTACCTATGTTAGACCAAGGACTAGAATTTTTTATCCGTAGTGCAGAGTCCACACCTAAAAACTGCAAAGCAAAACAGGAGATAATCAAAAGATTAGCTACAGGACTGATCAGTGAACTACAAGGACTGAGCTACAAGGAAAGGCTGAGAGAACTAGACCTCACTACACTGGAAAGAGAAAGTGGTAAGAGGTGACATGATTACAACATGTAAGATTCTTAGAGGCACTGAAAAAGTGGACAGACCCAAAATGTCTAGCATGAACATGGGCAGAACAAGGGGTACGGTTGGAAACTATGAACTCGGATAAGCTGTAGGGATGTAAGAAAGCAGTTGCGTAAGAATAATAAGCAAATGTAATGGATAGAAAGGGAAGCTAGATGAGACACACATTGTAAATAGCTTCAAGAGTAAGTATAAGGAGGCAGAAGGAGCCATTGCAAACAGCACACATGGACGAGTACATGCTACTGCCTCGTGCCTGCCTGTGACACATGCAAGCATTAGCATATGTCAGAAATATGTTAATGCCATAGTTACATGCTTGTGCCTGCCAGCTTGACAGGTTCATGCTAATTGTTTTGGCCTCTCGATGTGTGCTATGGGAAAACTGTTTAATTTATTTACAGTAAATTCAAAATAATCATAAACTGAAGACAATTAAATAATGTAAATCAAATGCAGTGTTTACTATCACTCAAGTAATAATTTATCTCAATTTATCGCTGTTGGAGGTAAAGGAAAATGTGTGGGGAATATAAAGCAACCGGTGGTGGCTTGCAAAGTTCATGCAAGTGTAATAGCAAAAGAATATGCGTGCAAAGATATTATTACAAATACTCATTTAATACACCCCGGAGACCAAGATAAAATATTTTTTTTAGAATAGAGGTGCCAGGTTACACTAGAAGCAGATACTAGAAACGTTCTTGTTTCTTCATTATTTGTGATGTGTGGTTTGGGTATCATATTTTCAGCAACATTATCGTGACTCATTGTCTGTACTAGTAGGAAAAACTTTTAAGGGAGCTAGGTTAAATTACTAGCAAGAAATAGGAATAAAGGTTCCAAATTATACTGTTAGCATAGAATAAAACATTATTTGTGCACAGTAGCAAGGTTTAAGAATACGAAATTCAGCGTTAAAGAATATTAACTGCTCACATTAACAGTTATAAGCAATGGTAATGTCTTCTCACAGACATGATAAGATAGGATAAATACCCATATTTGTGTATTTGTGAATTTTATGTAAAGATTTACAGATTTACACACGTCTTTTGCACTCTGTCAAGGTCTGAGTGCTCTGTCATGGCCTGAGTATGTGGTTAGGATAAAACTTACATCTCGATGAGTAATCCACTTTTTTTTTTTATCTCAATAACTTTAATTAGTTGTTGAGATGTAAGTCTCATCTAACCACATGTTCGGACCTTGACAAAGAACTCAGTAAAGTGTGAAAGACTGAGTAAATCTTAACATAAAATTCACAAGTACTGTACATAAATGTGAATTTTTATCCTATTAACAATTATTATGGCAACAATTTGTCCACAAATGGTTTAGACTAATATAACACTAACAGGTGACCGAGAAATTATTCCTCAAAGTGATTTAGAAAGAGCTTATCAATTCAGTATCAATATGTTGCAAGAATGAAACAATTCTTATATAAAAACCTTTCATAGAAAAAATATTATTGAACATCTTACAAGACAATTGCAATTTTCTGGAGCAATAATGATCATCAAGTTATATGTAAATAGGATTGTACGTAATATATCGGCTCTTTTTCACAATTTGGCAAACGTCAAATTTAAAGTGGTTTTGCTTAACCAAAGTCTCGGTACCAGATTTAATTTATAAACACTAATGCTATTAATACCAAGAAGTGTCAGTATTGTGATGCTATTAATTAATTTCACTCAAACATCAGAATTTTCACACTGGTCATTTGTCAAAATTGCAGTGCATTAAGTGGGAAGACAGGTTGTGAGAGGTGACAACCGTGGAGGGTAATGCAGGTACTCACGTTTGACGTCACGGAAGACGTATGACCCGATGAAAGACAAGACGATAACAGCAACAGGGAGAGCGTAGTCAGCCAGAGCCTCGCGCTTATTGGCGTTCAGGTACGGTCTGGTGAAGAGGGCGAAGGTATGAATTCATTTAATTAATAATTTGTTTTGTTAGGGACAGGAAGCCTGCATATATAATAATAATCCTGTTGTTGGAGACAAAAAGACCTTGTTTATCTAGGTACTCCTAGTTGAACTACTGACCCTTCCCAGGATGCAACCCTACCACAATTGCCTCAGGTACCTATTTACTACTAGGTGAACATACAAAACATAGGACAGTAAAAGTTCCACAGGCATAGTGAGGAGGACCTTGTGGTGCAGTGATAGGAACAGTTGTCACAATTCTGAATTCAATTCCTGCAGTATGACAGAAGTGTTTTGGCAACTTTTCCTTTTGCCTGATACTTCTGTTCACCTTTAGCAGTAAATAGGTTCCCTGGAGCTAAGCAACTGTTGTGGTATGCTTCCCATGGAAGAACAGTACAGATGGCTTAGGGAAATCTTGATAGCCTTAACAGGTCTCTTGTCCCTGACTATGGAGAATCAGAAGGTGAATTGGGTAGTTGATATGGAACAAATTACCTGGTAATAATATAGACGTGGGATCGCTGGATTGTTTCAAGCGTAGGTTAGACACACGTGACTGAGTTTGGGTATCTCATATGGGCCAATAAACCTGCAGTTTTAATTTTTATATCATTTTCTATTTATAAATAAAACAAGTCAGTCTGTTATCAACAAAACTCGGTCTGTTTGCCTGAAATGCTATGCGTACTAGTGGCTTTAGGTATTGTATGTACTAGCTCTATCTTTAAATCCAACATTATGTTTGTAACTCATCTTCAATGTATGTACCTTTACCTGAATAAAAAATCTTATCTAAACATATGCTTTTTTGACCATTTTAGGTATAAGAGTGATTAAATGTCAATTCAGGTTGTATGCTACATCATTCATTACTAATTCTAACATTTATATTTGTTACATTACTATTAGGATGAATTACAAGAAGAGTACAGCCCACCCTCTGACAGCAGCCAGTTCTCATGATTTTCCACAATGTACACAATGCAAATTGCTAACTTAACCACAAACAAACCCAAGCCACCCACCTAACCAACCGATTCATAGAAACATGGATATTTATCGGCCGCTACTCTTCATAGTTCTTTGTATTTTGTACATTGGGGGACCATAAGATATGAGATGTGTAGTTGAGAGGCTACGGTGATGAGCGAGAGTCGCCATGGTACAATCACGGTACTGTGACTACACCGAGGGAATTACAGTACCATCCTGTACTGTAATTCTCTCTCTTTGCCAACTTGACAAAAACCAAGCATAAGTGCAAAACTTTTCTTACTGCAAAACAAGTATAACTTGTGTGTGTCTTATGGCTTAAGTGAAGCTGCCTAGAGGCACTTACGTCTTGTTAAAGTTGTAGAGCATCACGCCAAGCCAGAGAGTGCCAAACATGAGCAGAAGGTAGAGGATCGAATTCTCTCTCGTACAGACATCTTGCACAAGGGTCAAGGTAACGTTGCCTTCTCCTGGGATGCTGGGTGTTGAATAAATATCTGAATAGTTGCCTAAGACCGTGTAGGCTGATGGGGTACTTATGGTATACGAGGTGTAATTGGTGCTGTTGGTGACGCCTTGACACGCCGGACTGTAGTAGTTTGCATCAAAATCTGCAGACAGAAAAGACTTAAATTAGATGCTTATAAGGCACATTAAAAAATAATTGATTTTTTGTCTCTGTTGTGAGAGAGACAGACCTCAGTAGTATAACTGAGGGGGCATTTAATCATGATCAGAAGATATTCCTTTAGAAATAAAATCCAGCCTATGTATGTAATTATCTAAGTGTAGTTACAGGATGAGAGCTATGCTCGTGGTGTCCCGTCTTCCCAGCACTCTTTGTCATATAATGCTTTGAAATTACCGACGGTTTTGGCCTCCACCACCTTCTCACGTAACTTGTTTCAACCGTCTACCACTCTGCGAAAGTTAATTTTCTTATACAGTATTTCTTCGGCAGCTTTGTTTAGTTAGTTTAAATCTATGACCTCTTGTTCTTGAAGTTCCAGGTCTCCGGAATTCTTCCCTATCAATTTTATCAATTCCTGTTACTATTTTGTAAGTAGTGATCATATCACCTCTTTTTCTCCTATCTTATAGTATTGGCATATTGACTCTAGTGTACACTTTGTACACTAGTGATCATTATGATCAATACTTTGCCTCTGATTACTGCCCTCATTTTTCTGTCAGTTAGAAAAATTTTCATCCATGTTAGAAGCCTACCTAAAACTCTTCCAGTATATTCCAGTTTCCAGAACAACCTCTTATGTGGAACTGTCGAAAGCCTTTTCTAGGTTCAGATAGATGCAGTCAACCTAACCATCTCTTTCCTGTAAAATCTCTGTGGCTCGATAATAGAAAGAGAGTAAATTCGTTACACAGCATCTACCAGATCGAAAACCATATTGTCTATCTGATATTATATACAGTAGTTTTTCTCCAGGTGTTCTACCCATCTAGTTTTAATTATTTTTTCCAATATTTTTGCTATTGGTCACTAAAAAACTATATGAATTATATAGTATGGTATACAATGCTGTAGCTCCTATACAATGCTGAACAATGTAAGAATAATATTTTTCTTATTTAAATTCCAGCCTTAATACCTATCAGACCAAAGTCTACACATGTAGCAGTGGTGGTGGTGTGGTCCCCCTCGCCTGAGGAATTGTATCAATAAGCCACAAAGAGTACAAAAGGCACGCTATAAAATGGGCACCAGAGCCGAAAGATGTGAACTATGTAGAAAGGAACCAAACCTTATATTTTGTTACTCTGTAAGAAAGAACATAAATTGGGTCCTGATGCCTACTTTCAAATGCATAAAGGAATACGAGAACATGGATAAGTGAACGTTGATCACTTCTACTGCAGCCAGAGGACCTTTATTTAAGGGAGGAAAAAAAAAAAGTGTGAGAAAGCACAGATTTTTGTAGTGGCGTAGAAGGCAGGAAAACATTAAATATATGATGCATGCAACAAAAATATAGAAATCTTATGAGTAAACATGGTAAATTTTTTTACTGACTATGGTTGCATAAACAAATTTCTCTTACCTATTTAGGCAGTATAAGTGCATCTCTCACACTGATTCAGATTCTCTCTGATATAGTGTTACCATGAAGGATTCTGAAGACAACAGGTGGAACACTTAACTAAAGCAAAGGTCACAGCCATTGCAAATTAGTAACTTAAAATTTTTTTTAAAAATTACTTGCATAAAACTTCACGATTTAGGAATATACTTCGATAAGAACTGCTTTGTAATTACTCACTTTTACCGACAGCTGAGAAGGCGTCATTACAGAAGGCAATGGATATAAAGAGAGCGAATATCTCCTCAGTAGAGCGTGTGGACCACCGCATGAGGCGAGACACGTCAAACAACGAGTACATCACCAAGAAGAAACTGTTCCATAGCCCCACTGAACAGTACATTGCATTGAAGTCCAGCTTGAAGTCTTCACAGATGTAAAATATAACTGCAGGTGGGGGAGGAGGAAGGCATGAGACCACATCAGTACACACTTTAGTTTACATTAGCTGTAAAAAGTCTAAGACTACAGAGTTAGAGGGGAATTTATTCCAGTGTTATACAACACTTGTGGATATTGGGATTACAACAGGTGAGTAATTACAAGACCCTTTGGCACACACTATTGCAAAAGCTGCATCCATTTCACCAAATCCCAGAACATACAGGTACACACATACAGGGAATTAAAGGTAATAATTTGTGTTTAATAATGATGAGAAGCACTGTATGAATAATTATCCGGGACCCAATTGTATTAATGTTGATAATACACACAAGTGGATTGTGGTGCTATTTTCTTTTTAGTTTATTTTCAGCTAATGCCCTTTTTGACTTAGAACTAAATAAGTACCCAGGAGTTAGACAGCTGCTAAAGCCTGCATCCTGTGTGTGTGTAGTCAAGTAGTTGTGCTTGTGGGGGTTGAGCTTTGGCTCTTTAGTCCCGCATCTCGACTGTCAATCAACAGGTGTACAGGTTCCTGAGCCTACTGGGCTCTATCATATCTACATTTGAAACTATGTATGGAGTCTGTGTCCACCACATCACTGCCTAATGCATTGGATTAAAAGTTAATGTGAGAGAAACGTACGAAGTAGATGTAATAGAGAAAAATAGATCCGGAGTCAGCACATGAGACAACCGACGTTTAGAAAGGAGAGGGTCCAAGAGCTAATAACTTGATCCTTCTGAATTTGTTGTTGGGCATTTGGGAGACTTTTGCTGGGGGCTTGGGAGATTTCTGGAGCATTGCTGAATTTTGTTATTGGGCAGTTTGAGGTACTGAATTTTAGGTCAGAGTAACACACACACACACACACACACACACACACCATATCAGAAGACATGATCACTACTGCAATTCCAGTGTTGCTTTGGTGGTTGTTGTTTTAGATTCAGCTACTCGGAACAAAAAGTTGCAAGTAGCACGGGTTATGGTGAGCCCGGTAAGACTTACTCTTGATGTAGATGGCGAGGGGAGCTGTGGTGAGTTGGATGAGGAGGGGCTGGCCAGCAAACAGTCCCCAGAACACGCCCCCAATCACTTGACCAATTATCACTCTCTTAACATCTGAAAATTGAGAATCCAGGTAAGTTACACTAAGACCGAGGACTTGGTAAGAATAGAGTACAAATAAAATATTACCTTACACTATGTATTTCATTACAAATGTAATCTAATCCACCCGTGAAAGTGATGATGGACCGAAACGTTGTAGTTTTTAGTTCATGCGAGCTTCTCTTAGCAGTTTAACACACATTGAGGCCTGGTCAGAGACCGGGCCGTGGGGATCTTGACCCCCCAGAATTATCGCAAGGTTATTATTATTATTATTATTAGATAACGTTATTGTGGCATTCGCTGCAAATTTAAGTAATGCTCAAGAGTAATAATGTTAAAATGTATGCAGATCTAGTTTATAGCGAAATGCATTTACTACTAAGACAGGAAGATGTAAGCAACGTAATGTCGAGTAAGAACTATAGTCATGACAAAACAACTGGCATCAATCTACACCCGACTCCTAAATGTAAGCTGGTTGATACCTGGTTGATACCTGGTTGATACCTGGTTGATGGGGTTCTGGGAGTTCTTCTACTCCCCAAGCCCGGCCCGAGGCCAGGCTCGACTTGTGAGAGTTTGGTCCACCAGGCTGTTGCTTGGAGCGGCCCGCAGGCCCACATACCCACCACAGCCCGGTTGGTCCGGCACTCCTTGGAGGAATAAATCTAGTTTCCTCTTGAAAATGTCCACGGTTGTTCCAGCAATATTTCTTATGCTTGCTGGGAGGACGTTGAACAACCGCGGACCTCTGATGTTTATACAGTGTTCTCTGATTGTGCCTATGGCACCTCTGCTCTTCATTGGTTCTATTCTACATTTTCTTCCATGTCGTTCACTCCAGTACGTTGTTATTTTACTGTGTAGATTTGGTACTTGGCCCTCCAGTATCTTCCAGGTGTATATTATAAGCTAGAGACATATTTGATTTTAAAATCCAACCCAGTACTTAGGAATCACGTAAGTAATTATTCAGAGGTGCTTTAAGCCTCAGTACCACAAATACGACCAACCCATCACTTTGGACCAATCCAGCACCCAGGACCAATCCAGCACCCAGGACCAATCCAGCACCCAGGACCAATCCAGCACCCAGGACCAATCCAGCACCCAGGACCAATCCAGCACTCCAGGACCTCTCAGTAATTTGGACTCCTAGAAGCTAGGAACCTCCCATATAAATCGCTCTCGAGTGCGCACTTACTCTTCGTCTTCCTCGAGAATACGTACCTCTTTACTCATCTTCCTTGAGAAAACATGCCCGCTTATTCTTCATCTTTCTTGAAGATGTAAATAAAGTTTTCTTTAATCTCTCCTCATTAGGAAGGTCTCTAATTCCGGGGATTAACTTTTTTCATCCTTGTCTGTATGCATTCAAGTGAATTTACCATTATATTGTATGGAGACCATAACAGATCAGAATAAATTTAATGTGGCCTAATAGGGGCAAGATAAAGCTTGCAAATGCAATGGAAAAATATTCAATATCCTGTTTGCCTTAAACACGTATGGGTTTAAGATCATTAATAATCATGAGTTTCGAATTGTGTTTCTAGTTTTAAGACTTTGCCATTTCCGTATTGTCCAGGTGGTATCTGGTAACTCTCACAATCACCTATGCATAGAACTCTATATTTTTTTCATTATTAAACAGCATCTGCCAATAGTTTATCCATTTTAAAGGAGTATCTATATGTAATGTTGCTTGTTGCCCAAACAAATGTTGTTCTGACCATGCCTATGTTGTGCATATTGAGCCAACATATGTTGCTGTGTGTTGATCACCCCTGTGTTAACCATACATGTATTGTGGGTGTTGACTAAACACCTGTGCTGATCATGCTTATGTTATTATTTACGATGACCATACCTGTGTACTGCCATGTTGACCATATCTATTATGTTAAAAGTGTCCTCTTTAAGCCTATTTCAACTTGCGAATTACGTTTTGCATTACATATTTATCAGTTACACCTATTTTTGAACAATGTCTGTTATACCCATTTCACTGCGACTATTCTGCCCAAAAAGAACTATTTCGTGCCTTGCGCATCTGCATACCATACCTATTTTCCCGTGCGTGTTGTGGTCATTGAGGACACCGAAGGCAATGGCGGGTAGGATGCAGGCGAAGTAGAGGAAGAAGGTGGTAGATATGACCTTCTGTAGCGTTTTGTGGCCGATGACTCCATCCTTGTAGTCAGACAGGTAGTGGGGCATTCGCCGTTCCAGATCCTCCCGCAAGCCCCGGGCGAAGGAACACCGCTTCTCTTGCTGGGAGGAGGAGGAGAAGGAAAAGTGGACTGTTAAGTGTGGACATCAAATATGGATCTGCTATGTCAAAACCAGTTTGTGATTGGTGTTCTTGTAATTGTATGTGGGTGGGCATGCTGAGGAGAGACAGAATGAGAAGTAAGTATAAGAACACTCCCGCAACTAGACATTATACAACAAATCTTGCACCAACAACCGACTTACATATTCGAACTCATCAGCCCGCTCATGGTTCATCTCGATACGCTTGTCGTTGCTCATCTGCTGCTCCTCGGCCAGCTCCTGGGAGTGTTTGATGATCAATCGCTTGAATTCCTCTTCGTTGGAGGCTTCCAGGAGTCGTTGTCGAAAGTCCATATCGGCGAAGATTGTAGCGAAGGTCCGCCCGGTCTCCAGCGAGTTCTTGGTGCCTTTCTGCCAGTCGAAAAGGAGTAAATTTTAATAACTTAATAAGAGTGTAAAGGTGGATACACCTGTACCAGAGCCGGTTCTTATAGCTATATACAACACCAGTTCTAACCTTGTAATTATAGTCGTTCAATGGTCGATCACGAACATCAAGGAAGCACATTAACACATACAGTATATACTTACAAATTATTTTGCGGTGTTGTACTCTTGTCATGTCCGTCATAATATCACTGTCGCTACATCACAAGCACCACCACACCACAAGCACCACTGCCAGCACAAGCAACACAACCACACCATGAGCACCATAACCACACCACATGCACCACCACCACACCACAAGCACCACCACACCACAAGCACCACCACCACCAAACCACAAGCACTACAACCACACCACAAGCACTACAACCACACCACAAGCACCACCACCACACCACAAGCACCATAACCACACCACAAGCACCACCACCACACCACAAGCACTACAACCACACCACAAGCACCACCACCACACCACAAGCACTACAACCACACCACAAGCACCACCACAACATCACAAGCACTACAACTACACCACAAGCACCACCACACCACAAGCACCATAACCACACCACAAGCACTACAACCACACCACAAGCACCACCACCACACCACAAGCACTACAACCACACCACAAGCACCACACCACAAGAAAGAAAGACCTGGGGGTTGATATCACGCCAGACCTGTCCCCTGAAGCTCATATCAAGAGGATAACATCAGCAGTATATGCCAGGTTGGCTAACATAAGAACGGCATTTAGAAACTTGTGTAAGGAATCTTTCAGAACATTATATACCACATATGTCAGACCAATCCTGGAGTATGCGGCACCAGCATGGAGTCCATATCTAGTCAAGCATAAGACTAAACTGGAAAAGGTTCAAAGGTTTGCCACCAGACTAGTACCCGAGCTGAGAGGTATGAGCTACGAGGAGAGACTACCGGAATTGAACCTCACTTCGTTGGAAGACAGAGTTAGGGGGGACATGATCACCACATTCAAGATTCTCAAGGGATTTGACAGGGTAGATAAAGACAGACTATTTAACACAAGGGGCACACGCACTAGGGGACACAGGTGGAAACTGAGTGCCCAAATGAGCCACAGAGATATTAGAAAGAACTTTTTTAGTGTCAGAGTGGTTGACAAATGGAATGCATTAGGAAGTGATGTGGTGGAGGCTGACTCCATACACAGTTTCAAGTGTAGATATGATAGAGCCCAGTAGGCTCAGGAACCTGTACACCAGTTGATTGACAGTTGAGAGGCGGGACCAAAGAGCCAGAGCTCAACCCCCGCAAGCACAATTAGGCGAGTACAAGCACCATAACCACACCACAAGCACCATAACCACACCACAAGTATCACCACACCACCACAAGCACCACCACAACCACACAACGAGCTTGTGGTGTGGTTGTGGTGCTTATGGTGTGGTTGTGGTGCTTGTGGTGTGGTTGTGGTGCTTATGGTGTGGTTGTGATGCTTATGGTGTGGTTGTGGTGCTTGTGGTGTGGTTGTGGTGCTTGTGGTGTGGTTGTGATGCTTATGGTGTGGTTGTGGTGCTTGTGGTGTGGTTGTGGTGCTTGTGGTGTGGTTGTGATGCTTATGGTGTGGTTGTGGTGCTTGTGGTGTGGTTGTGATGCTTATGGTGTGGTTGTGGTGCTTGTGGTGTGGTTGTGGTGCTTATGGTGTGGTTGTGGTGCTTGTGGTGTGGTTGTGGTGCTTATGGTGTGGTTGTGATGCTTATGGTGTGGTTGTGGTGCTTATGGTGTGGTTGTGGTGCTTATGGTGTGGTTGTGGTGCTTGTGGTGTGGTTGTGGTGCTTGTGGTGTGGTTGTAGTGCTTGTGGTGTGGTTGTAGTGCTTGTGGTGTGGTTATGGTGTACCATAACCACCACCACAAACCACACAGCCTCGCCTGAATTCCCTTGTTTACACTGTATTTGTAAATGACAAACCCGTTGTTATATAACAGCAAATCGCTGGCTAGTGATTAAGGATAAAACAACCAATTTGTTTGTTGTTCACAGGTTTGTACATGACGCATCTTGAGCAAGGACATATTTCCCTATGTTGTTTAAGATTCCCTACTTGGAACAAAAGTTCCAAGCAGCACGGGCTATGGTGAGCCCGTAGTTATTTCCCTAATCATGCATGAAGCATTATGAGTAATAAATTAGTGGCTTGAATTTACATATGTGTGTATCAGTGATCAACCACTTGGGCTGGATGGTAGAGCGACGGTCTCGCTTCACGCAGGTCGGCGTTCAATCCCCGATTGTCCATAAGTGGTTGGGCACCATTCCTTTCCTCCGTCCCATCCTAAATCCTTATCCTGACCCCTTCCCAGTGCCATATAGTCGTAATGGCTTGGCACTTTCCCTTGATAAGTCCTAACTGTTTAATATATGTAAACAAAGTCGCCAAAGATTGAGAAAAGACGTACAGGTTCGTAAGTGCTTGCGTAACTGCTTCGTGAATCTGGCCCTGTAACAATAATATTGCATTACTGCACACACACACACACACACACCTTACTTGCTCCCTCTCTATAGTTATATGTGTGTTCCAATCACCCCCTCCTTCACCGTCTCCACCTCTCCTTCCAATTACTGTGCTAGATTCACGTCCAATCACCGTTTTAATTCCTCCATCACTGCCTCTATGTCCTCTATACGTTTGTCTAATGAATTCTCCAAATTCCTTACACACACACGAGAGAGAGACAAGAGACTGTGTGGGAATCTCAGTGACATCTCAGCCTTAACGGGCTCGCCATAGACCGTGCTACTTGGAACTTTTTGTTCCAAGTAGCGAATCTTAACAATAATCTTCAGCCTACCAAGATGAGAGTACTTTAACCATAGTAGAAAAGTGGTTCAGTGGACTATCACTACATGTTGGTACTTTACAGGAAATGGTTACTTTAAGTAGCATCATTTCAGGAGGATTGGTTGGTCTGTGAGTACTAGGGGGCAGGAAGAGTGCCACGGTGACCAGGAAGAGTGCCAGAATGGGCAGAAAGAGTGCCACAATGGGCAGGGGGGACCTTGGACCTCCCCCCCCTCTCACTTCTAAGCCTGGAACCTTGCCAACTCTGCGCAAGGCGGGACAATATCTGCGCAGAGTGAGAAGAGAGAGAGAGAGAGAGAGAGAGAGAGAGAGAGAGAGAGAGAGAGAGAGAGAGAGAGAGAGAGAGAGAGAGAGAGAGAGAGAGAGAGAGAGAGAGAGAGAGAGAGAGAGAGAGAGAGACAGACAGACAGACAGACAGACAGACAGACAGACAGACAGACAGACAGACAGACAGACAGACAGACAGACAGACAGACAGACAGACAGACGAAAAGTGGGAAGGAATAGACACTAATTCATCATAATTCCCGTTGTCGGGGGACATGAAGCCTGCGTATATTTGAGGCTTGTATCGGGGTGGTCCTCCACCCTACCGTAAGGTGCAACCCAACAACCCTAACTCCCGGGCAATTGCAAGTGAACAGATGTATTAGGGGGAAAGAATACCTGCCAAACCCATTTCGATCCCGCCCAGGAATCGAACCCGAGATCACCCGATTCTGAGTCGAGAACTAAGCCAGGTAGATGTGCCACCTGGCCTCGGTAGAAGCACGGCAGTAGATAAACTACCGCCCTCGACGCCCAGTGAAAGAGAGGGATATTGGAAAAGACATTTTTGCAGCATATATGGTTGCAACCTGCAATGGACTTAATTAATCTATTGACCGTTCCTCTGATAGGTCCGGGATAGGTCCTATGTAGGCCTTATGTAGGTCCTATGTAGGCCCTATGTAGGTCATATGTAGGCCCTATGAAGGCCTTATGTAGGCCCTATGTAGGTCCTATGTAGGCCCTATGTTGAGATCTTGAGATGATTTCGGGGCTTTAGTGTCCCCGCGGTCCGGTCTTCGACCAGGCCTCCACCCCCAGGAAGCAGCCCGTGACAGCTAACTAACACCCAGGTACCTATTTTACTGCTAGGTAACAGGGGCATAGGGTGAAAGAAACTCTGCCCATTGTTTCTCGCCAGCGCCTGGGATCGAACCCGGGACCACAGGATTACAAGTCCAGCGTGCTGTCCGCTCGGCCGACCGGTGGTGGTGGTGGCAGGACGCCATCTGCAACGTTGCAACAGTGTTTCCAACGACCACATTTTGGCATTGTGTGTGTGGGTGTTGCAGCATCTTTTGCGGCGGCCATTTCTGTCTGTGACGGTCGAACGATCGTTAGATAACGTTCAGGCTTCAGTGTGGTCACAGGGCTCAGCTGGCGAGACTCCAGTAAACCTTTCCTTGCCAGGAAATGTTTGAGTCCTGCTTGATACCTGCTTGATGGGGTTCTGGGAGGTCTTCTACTCCCCCAAGCCCGGCCCGAGGTCGAACTCCTCAGGCTGGTCTCTTCCCAGGAGGTTTTGGGCGCGTTTCTTGCCCCTCTGGACGAGTATTGTTGAAAGTTAGTGGCGTTAATGGCGCCAGCTGCTCCCTGGCTCCACACACGAGGGGTATGAGCTACGAGGAAAGATTACTGGATCTGAATCTCAGAAGAGTAAGTGGAGACATGATCACTACCTATAAAATCCTCTGAGAAACTGACAGGGTAGATAAAGATACTGTTTAACACGGGTGGGACATGAACAAGGGGACACAGGTGGAAACTGAGTACCCACATGAGCCATAGTGACGTTAGAAAGAACTTTTTCAGTGCCATAGTAGTTAACAGGTGGAATGCATTAGACAGTGATGTGGTGGAGGCTGACTCCATACACAGTTTCAAGTGTAGATATGATAGAGCCCAGTAGGCTCAGGAACCTGTATACCAGTTGATTGACAGTTGAGAGGCGGGACCAAAGAGCCAGAGCTCAACCCCCGCTAGCACAACTAGGTGAGCACACACACCTGCTCCGTCTCGTGTGTACAACACTGGAGGAAGAGCAAGTCTCCCTC